TGAGGGTGGCAAGATGACCTTTGAAGAAAGGATTCAGTTGATTCACAATGTATTGCAAATGTGCATGTGTTGTGTTGAATACACACTCTGCGTCTCTTGGTCAGAGTGGACATTCTGTGCTGTGGCACTGTGTCCTGTACACTACAGGATATCCCACTGGGCTTCTGATGTGTTTGCACAAGGATTGGATGAGGTAGAGAGAAGGAATGTTGCTGTTTTTTACGATGCCCATTCTCAGAGGGGTTCCTTGATTTTCCTCTTCCTCCCATAGAATTCAGCGGCTTCTTAGGCTGCAGCCAAAAGAAGCTGTTTTAAGCTTTCTTGATAATAATTGGGGATGTATAGTATAGGCACGAACCCAAGTCCTTTCACTGAAAGGCAAGCCTTTTCCCTTCTCTTTGCTTTTTAAAATGTAAAACTTTTCCCGAGTAAAAAAAAAAATCTGTTGTTTTGCCCAGTTTTAATTTCAATAAAATGTTGTGTTCTTCTTCAGGTTGTATCCTCTGCTTCTGGTTTTATGATGTGTTTAGCTTTTTTAATTTTAATTTTACATGTAACTCTTTTACTATATTGTGAGCCTTTCAATGGAGAATACTGAATATAAATTTAAATCCTATAACCGCTCCTGGGCAATTTAAAGTCAAGCCACTACTATAATAGTTAAAGCACTGAGTGAAGACATGTGTTCATTTCATGAACTTACTAGGTGATCATGACCCAGGTATATCTACCTTACACTGTTGTTAAGAGCATAATGTGGGCAGTGGGAGAGCTATGTATGCCACATTCAGCTCAATTAGGTAAAGCTGGAGTATTAGTGCAACTGATACAAATAAGGAGGGACGTGGTGGCACTGTGGGTTCAACCACAGAAGCCTCTGTGCTGTAAGGTCTGTAGATCTTCAGCTGTAAGATCGACTCCATGTGATGGGGGGAGCTCCCATCACTTTGTCCCAGCTCCTTGCCAACCTAGCAGTTCCAAAGCATGCAAATGCGAGTAGATAAATAGGTACCACCTCGGTGGGAAGGTAAAACAGCATTCCCTAGTCACCCTGGCCACGTGGCAACGTCAACTGTCTTCAGACAAGCGCTGGCTCTACGGCTTGAAAACGGGATGAGCACCACCCCTTAGAGTCGGACACGACTGGACTAATACCTTTTTAACCAACCTTACAAGGTGGCTGAGGTGATATCACACCCAAACAAAGTGGAATTGCATGACACCCCTCTCCCAAGAAAAAGAAAAGAAAACCCTGCTCATTTTTTTCTGATGGTTTTACCTTGAACCCCAACTTGGGCCTGCAAGAACAGTGGCTAGCAACAGGGGTGAGGAAAAAGCAGCCCCACAGCAGGAATATTTCCTGTCTTCAGAAGGGAAAGGTGGGCTTTAAGGAGAAAGTTGTGGTAGTCTCCTTGAAAATCAACCAACCCGTTTCTCAAGGCTGGAAGGGTAGCTGGGTGGGATTTTGGCGATTCCCCTACTTCCATTCAAGAGCAAGAGCTGGTGATAATCTCCAGTGGACAACCTTTCAAACAGAGAACTGTCCTCTATAAAGCAAGATGCATAATCATCCCGTCCCTCCCCTCTCCTAGCAACCTTGGAGAAAAGAGTCACTGTCATGCAGACAGGCAGTGTAGTATAGTGGGTAGAGTGTTGGGCTGGGACTCAGAGGACCTGGGTTTAAGTTCCTGCTGACCCATGGCAACCCATTGGTTGTGTGGCATTGGTAATCCACTCCATGACCAGCTCAATACCTACAAAACTCAATTAGGGTTATCATGGCTCAGAAGCCACCTGATAGCAAATGACAACAGCAAATCAAGGGTAGGGGTAAAATATTTTGTTTTGTTTTGTTTAGTTTTACCACCTCTTTAGTAAATACACAACTCTTCACACTCTAAAAATAAAACTCAGAACCCCACAAGCTGTATAAAACAATACAATCAATATGTGGATTCACCGATCCAGAGCTAAAATCAATAAAGAAAAAGGAAGCACAAGAAAGAAAGAAAAATAAAATTTAATATTAGCAGCATCTAGGAATGAGTTGTTAAAGGCTGCTTTCTGTCGTTCTGACTTCACTAATTTCCTGAATATCAGGAGGAAAGGAGCCTGGTGCACTTCAATTGGAAGCTTGTTCCAAAGAATGGGGGCTACCACCAAGAAGGACTGATTCCTTGTCCCATTTTTGGCCTCCCTTGGTGCGGCCACTTTTAGTAGCCAGGACTGAGAGGGGAGTGGTTGAAATAGGTAGCTGTTTCCTGAGAGAGATCTTCTGACAAGTATTTATTGCACAAATAACATTGTGAAACATGAAAACCAAATTCCAGTGTCCTTTACAGCAATCTCAGATGACAGAAGTTTGGGTTTTAAACCCCCAGGAGCTACCTTACACCCCTGTCAGAATTATTCTTGCTAAAGGTCAATTTAGAACCCAGAAACAACATTTCACTAATTGGGGGAATACCTTCTGGATTTTCTGCACCATATATGGAGAAAGTCTTGGAACAGAGAATAGACCATTATCCTCCTTCTCAGGGCAAGCTTCCAGAATAAGCAGGCACATAAATAATTTCACGTATAGCCAATGTGTCTGTGAGCACTGGTGAGGAGGGCTGACAAATATTTTACTTGTGTCCAGCTTCACAATCCTTTTTGTGCCATAAACACAATAGGAAAGAAATATCAGTTGAATCAGGAAGGTATAAGTCGCATAACAAACCTTATAAAGTGGTGTGTGAAGAATTGTTTCCCCCTTTCAAATGTGCTAGGGGACCATATAGCCCCACTTGAGAATGGCTGATCTAGTAGACAAGAATGATGGACTAAGACTTGGGAGAGCCGAGTTCCAATCCCTGCTTGGCCATGGACACTCACTGGAAGGCAGCAGTGGCAGAACATTTCTTCAATATCTTACATATGTCAAACACCCTATGATGGTTGCTTAATTTGGAAGGATTTCATAGCACGTAAAACCGCTATGGAAAGGCTCAGTCATCAGTCCATCAGGGCTAAGGATATAGGATGAAAACATGAGTCCTTCCATTCTATCTGTGTTGGAAGCAACTGCAGGAACTGTGTATCAGTTGTGGCCCTTGAATTGCAATTTCCATGACATCTCCCCACTGGCCATGTTGACTATGGCTCATGTAAGGTATATCCAACGTGGGATATCATTGTTGCCTACCGCTGTGTGGACGGCGAGTGTGCACATATATGTATCTTCAATCATGCCATCAAGTAGGGCAGTGGTCTGCTGAGACAAGCTCTCCCTGTTGGTTAAAGAACAAGAAAATAATGGTCTCCTGAGCTATTTTGAAGAAGAAAGGAAATCCATCACCCCACATCTTTAATATAAAGATTCCACACTATGTTGTCAGAGATATTGAAATTTGCCTAGGTTCAGGGCGGGCAGAATAAGCTTGTCTGCTAGATACAGCCACTGGTCAACTATCCTTAGGGAATGGATGTCACCATTGTTCCTTCCCTCCTCTGTCTATCATCTGAGCAATGATGACATCCCAAGAGTGGCAATACACCTGGATTCCCAGGTGCAGCTTGTACCTGCGTTACAGCCGTTGCAATAGGCTTGTGGCGGTATGAGTTCAACCAGCCCCCTGAGCCAAGAAGCTGGGTGAATGCGAGGCAGGTTTTCTCTTTCTCTCAGCTTGGCCTACCTTACAAGGATAATTTTATGGACAAAATTATGGAGGACAACTTGTGTCAACTTGAGCTCTTTGGAGAACAAAAAGGCTGATTTTTTTTCTCAACCTACTTAAGAAGCTCCTAAGTAGGATCCCTACCCAAAAGCCAATATATTCTGAATGACCAGGCAAAGGAGAGGCTGAAGAGTTTGAATTTGGTGATATTCCTTGTCCTGCTGGTTGGGGGATTCTGGGATTTGTAATCCAAAATGTACCTTTTCCAAGTTCTAGAAAAGCAATGTAATTGCCATAATGCCCATAGAAGGAGAACGGACTGAGTGTGAAGCCTGTGCCCCATTTTAACTGGGGAGGGGGAGAGAAACACCTTTCTACTTGAAGGGCCAACAGATTGGGAAGCTCTGTCCCTCTTTGACAGCCTTCCTTGGTCCTTGAAGAATATTAGCGAGTCCACGTGTTTCAAAACTTGGCACATGCACTTTATCGGATGCCTCTCTTCCAACATCCTTATGCAGTGACCTGTCCTGTGTCCAGCTTTGTATAAAAGAGGTCAGACATTTCTGGATTATGTTTACAGTATATTTATTTGACTTATTTATATCTCTACAGCCAGGGTGGTGTAGGGCTATTGTCAGGAATGTTGGCAAGTCTTTGGGTTTGAGTCACGAATCTGAGACTTTGATTGTTGTTGTTTAGTCGTTAAGCCATGTCCAACTCTTTGTGACCCCATGGGCCAGAGGACGCCAGGCCCTCCTGTTTTCCACTGCCTCCCGGAGTTGGGTCAAATTCATGTTGGTCACTTCAGTGACACTGTCCAACCATCCCGTCCTCTGTCGTCCCCTTTTCCTCTTGCCTTCACACTTTCCCAACATCAGGGTCTTTTCCAGGGAGTCTTCTCTTCTCATGAGATGGCCAAAGTATTGGAGCCTCAGCTTCAGGACCTGTCCTTCCAGTGAGCACTCAGGGTTGATTTCCTTCAAAGAGTCTTTGGTACTGAGTCCCAAGTCTGAGTCCCTGTTAAAAACAAGCTTTTTCCCCCCAGAAAAAAGTGACTTCTGACTTGCGAGCCAAGTTGAAGTCATTGGAAAAAGAAATCTGAGTCAAGTCACTGGTGCGACTTAAATCCAACTTGACAGCATGTCCCGTGACTCAAGTTCTCATCCCTGGGTTACTGTACTGGATGGAGTAGGAAGCAAAGCTATAGTATATCATCTTGAGTTCACTGAAGGAAACACATTACATGAATTTTAACACAGAGATGACTACCTTGATGATACAAAATGGCTCTTTCCCACTTATTGATGACTTACTAAATATCACTTTTCTTCTTCATTTCAGAATTTTTGGAAGAATTCCCTGGAGATGGAAGAGAATGTGTTAACTGTGGCGCTATGTCCACCCCACTGTGGAGAAAAGATGGAACAGGACACTACCTGTGTAATGCCTGTGGTCTCTATCACAAAATGAACGGCATTAACCGGCCACTCATCAAGCCACAGAAAAGATTGGTAAGGCTGACCAAACCTGGTTTGATTAGTATTCTACTTGGAGATGCCCATCCATCTTTCCATTATATAGCTTGGCTCTATCGCTTGAGCTACCTAAACTTGTTGTTCTGTTACTGCATTCTCTGTTTGTGGTGTGCTGTGTTTTGGAGTTCATGGTGCTGCGATTGTGAGCTGGCATGGAGAGCTTACTTGCCTTTATCTTATAGGCTTAATAGGGTCTCCACGTTCAGAGGCAATTTTTCTTTGAATATCGGAAACAGGCAGAGGTGTAACAGTAAATCTGGAAGTGCAGGTGGTTACGATGACAATCCCCTTCCCCCTCCATCACAAGAAGAGTCCAAAAATGGCAGTCAGCTGGATTGGTCCACATCAACAAGTGAGAAACAGGTCTTTTGCAAAACTAATAGCTTTTAATTGCCACTTCAAGAGAAAGCCACCTTCACATACTTCACATTATAATAGGGGCAGCTTTTAACAATGTACTGTTTCTGGGAAAATCTGTTTCTCTCCCAGGTACTCTGAGTACTGAAGCTAAACTCAGGGAGAAATAGGAAACCTGAGAGGCTGGTGGATGATACCATAGTGCCTGCTCATCAGAAAGTCACAAGGGTTCAGCCCTGCCAGTCCCGGCTCCACTACAACACTGATTGAAGAGAAAGACAAAACAGAGAAGGGATGTGACTTTTCTGAGCTAGGGTCTTGATGCATCTCAGAGGTCATTGTCACAGCCTGGAAAAGCTTGATCACATACATTGATTGATTGATTGATTGATTGATTGATTGATTGATTCGTCCATCCGTCCGTCCGTCCGTCCGTCCGTCCGTCCGTCCGTCCGTCCGTCCGTCCGTCCGTCCGTCCGTCACATACATACATACATACATACATACATACATACATACATACATACATACATACATATTGCCTGAATGCCCCAACCATCATGGCTGGGTGGTAGGATTCTCAGAGATGTCATTCAGAAAATAATGTTTTTCCACATTTCCAGGCACAGCCAAAAATAGAACACTGACCCCCGTGAACTGTTCCTTTTAATATAAACTGCCTTTATGCAGTTGAATTAATTTTGAACATTAGGCTTCTAAATGTTTGGAATGTGTTGCTTTCCTACTGTACACATACCAGCCATGTTTAAATGGCTGTGTTTCACATTTTTGAAGCATTTACACATCCCCTAAATTCAGTCTGCAGACTTTTGAAATCTGAAGATATAAGGAAAGGCATCCACTTTTGTCTTTAGCAACGTCACACGGCATTAGATTTATGGCACGGGAGGGTGCGAGTGTCTGTGTGTGCTCTGCCTTTTTCTCTACTAATTATTCCAGTATAGCATCTCCCCCACTCACCCACTGCATTTTGTTTGGAGAGCAGTTCATATACCTCTGGCAGCAGAAATGTTGACTTGTCCTTGAGATTCCAAAACCGTTTCCCATGATCTCTCTCTCTGGCTCTGTGGCTGGAAACTACCAGAGTACTAGACAATATAGGACTGGTAAAGGGCAGCCTTGATGTCCTCTTAGTCTTCAACTTCTTCTTCCTCCTCCTCTTGGAACGGCAGAGCTGGAAGGGACCCTATGGGGTCACCAGCTTCTGTCAGGGAGGCACAGTGGGGAACTAAACTCCCAACCTCTCGTTCTGCAGCCAGAAAAAGAGAAAAATTCAGAAAAGTTCTCTCCCTCTCTCTCTCTCCTTCTCTCTCCCTTGCCCTCCCTCCCCTCTTGTGGCATCTCTGAAGTCTACAAGCTTTATTCAATAGAAGCTTTTACAGACTGCACTGCATAACATTGCATGCGCCCAGGAAACAAACTCAAGCCCACAAAAACGTACACCCTTGCGCTGGTTTTTCAGTGGCGTAAATGTAAAAGTCTGCCAAGATCATAGGAAAGGTGTCCTTTTCTTCCCACCCTTATGGAAATATAAGTTGGAAATCATGTGTTAAGCACAAAAAATAGCAGGAAGAGGAAAAGGTTAACCGGACCTTCTTCTGTCTTCCGGACCTCCTGCTGTCACGATGGCAATTTTCAAAGCTGCCTTCCTCTGTGAAACAAGCAACTGCCCCTTCAAGCACAAACTATCATAGGGCGGGCTGCACATTCCTATGAGATTACTTTTTCTCCTTGTTTCTCAGGGTGATGTGATAGTAGTAGTCTGGGCTATGCTGCCGGCTTTTCCAGGGTTAGGGACGTGGTGGCGCTGTGGGCTAACCCGCAGAAGCCTGTGCTGCAGGGTCAGAAGACCAAGCAGTCGTAAGATCAAATCCACGCGACGGAGTGAGCTCCCGTCGTCTGTCCCAGCTCCCGCCAACCTAGCGGTTCGAAAGCATGCAAATGCGAGTAGATAAATAGGTACCATCTCGGTGGGAAGGTAAACAGCGTTCCGTGTCTAAATCACACTGGCCATGTGACCACGGAAAGATTGTCTTCGGACAAACGCTGGCTCTATGGCTTGAAGAGCGGGATGAGCACCGTCCCCTAGAGTTGGACACGACTGGACAAAAATTGTCAAGGGGAACCTTTACCTTTACCTTACCTGAAAAGCAAGCAGGATACTTGGGGGCCGGCCCCTGCTATTAGACATAATTCGATAGCTATGTCAGGCAGCAGATTAGGAATGTCTCCAGAAACACCACACACCTTTTCATTGTTTATTTTAATTACTGTGTTTATTACTATTATTGTGCTTTCAGAGCAGGGCTAAGATGCTTGTAACAGCAATGTCTCGGGCACCGAAATCACTAGGCTGGATTTAGCAACGGTGCATCTTTAACACAGATTGGTGTGGTGAAGCATTTGCAAAATTAATCATCATTGTCATGTACCCTCGAAGTGAATTCTGATGTATGGCTACCATTTTCAGGGGTGTGTAGGTAGAGGAGACTCAGAAGTGGTTTAGCCTTCCCTTCTGGGGATGCCCTGGGACTGTGCAGTGTACTCCAAGGCCACACAGGCTGGTCCTATGCATTTTCCAACCTCTGGCTCTGTAGCCAGATACCTAAACTGTCAAGCTATCCAGCCAGTGGGATTTGCCAAAGGACACAGTGCAGCCCTGTAGGGCATGGATTTTATTTTATGAAAATAAACAATTGGGGGGAATTGTTCCACTGAGCATCACGCATGGTCTGAATCCAAGTGCGAGGGGAATCAGCTTGTGGCCGAGCCTGTGTGTGAAGCTGTCCTGTCGTTCGGAAGCCCACAAAGCCAAAAGCTTATTGGTTGCATTTGGCTGTCTCCGAAGGGCTTTGGGTCCTAGTTTTGTATAAACAATCGTTGCAGAGATCAGGGTTGAAGTCAACAGCATCTCAGCCAAGGTCAAAATTCTACAAAGGCTGCCTGGAAGAAAGCGGGAACGGAATTCACTTTCTCTGAAGAAAACTCTGGGAACCCTCATGGCGATGTGGGGGTGCCTCCCTCACTTCTCAGCAGACAAAACAGACTTCTTTCTTCCTGTCTTTGTTTCCACTGCCAATGTCGCTGTTCCTGAGAAGGAATGTATAACTTAATTCCCTTCTAAAGAGCTGCCCTCTTTCTTCATTCAAAGAGGAGCCATGATTAATAACCATGGGTTGCCTTGCAGTGTGCTTCAGGTTACAGTGGTGCCTCGCTAGACGATGATAATCTATTCCACTGAAATCGCTGTTTAGCGAAATCATCGTCTAGCAAAAAGCATTTCCCCATTGGAATGCATTGAAACCTGTTTAATGCGTTCCAATGGGGAAGAATCGTCGTTGTCTAGCGAAGATCGGCCATAGGAAAGCCGCTTTGCAAACCACCGATCAGCTGTTTAAATAGCTGTCTTGCTAAGCTTAGGTTCCGAAAACACCCGTTTTGCGAGCACGGAGGGAGCTGTCAAAATCGTCGTCTAGTGAAAATTGGTTTGCAGAGCAGGGACCAAACATTGTCCAGTGAAATTCCCCCATAGGAATCACTGTTTTGCGAATCGCTATAGCAATCGCAAAAAGTCAATGTCTAACAAAAAAACTGTCATGCGGGGTAACTGTCTAGCGAGGCACCACTGTATTTCTTCATGCTGAATTTTCTGGAAGTCACATTGAGGAGCATGTCTGGCATGGCCAGTGACTCATAATTTTGTGCCATCTACCTGATTCTGACTATGGCAAGCCAGGGCTTTCTAGGTGGTCTGGATCCCCCAAAACTATTTAAACAAAAAGATTGGGATGGTAGCGATGGTGTGGTAGTGATGGCAGGGGGAGTTGCATTTGGAGCACAACAGAGTGGCCCACATCTAATTCGAAGATTTAGACCTCCAACCTTTAAGATTCTACAAGGATTCCTCGTCATTTTTCAGGCTAAGAATATTAGGTGGAAGTCATGAACAAAGGCCGTAGAAAAGAAGCAAGCAAAGCTACGATGTAAGCACAGCTTGTGTTCTAATTATTGTTTTTCCGACCAGTGCCTTCAAAAATCTGCCTTCCCTTCCCACACCATTCTTCTTCCTGAAATACGTACCAGTACTGCCTGTGGTCTTTTGAGCTTCTTAGCATTTTGAGTCCTACTCACTTAATTCATCACTGACGGCCCCAGGTCTTCTAACAGCAAAGTAAACAGATATCAAATTCTTCCTGATATACATAATTTCCAAGTCTGCTGGGAGAAGATCACCATGAACCAACACTTTCTGCCTTAAAAGCTGGAAAGTAGCTTTATATACAGAGAGAGTGTGCCTCGGTCAAGGTAGATATAACTCATTTATGAGAAAGCTTGACTATTGAAGAGAGTAATCTTTTTTAAGATTGAAGATATATGTCTTTATTTACTTTCCATGGTAGTACTGAAAGCATTTGAATGGACTGTTGATAGGATCAGACCTGGGGCTTCATCTGACTCCTCATGGTCATCTCAACCTCTGAGATACCTTTCATCAGAACTGAGGAGAGAACCTTTTCAATGACTCTGGTACTCCCTTCTGAGGGAGACCAATTCTCAGAACCAAAAATAGTAATTTGGGCACCTGAGGCAATTGGGGCCACTTCCCACACACCAGCCCTTCACACATGGATGCGAAGCCCTCCACACACCCCCTTCACTCCCAAGCTTCCAGAAGTTTCTAAAGCTCTTTTTAAAAATAGCATTTTCCGAATACCACTTTAACTTTCTCTTTTAAGCAGTTTCTACTTTGCCATATTTTCTTTTCTTTTCTTGTATATTGTGCTGCTGCCTTTTTGTTTTGTTTATAACTGTCTTTGTTGTTAATTTATTTTCTTATGAGCCCGCTCTGGCTCTTCAGAATTAATATCAGGATATAAACGTTTAAAATAAACGAATTTTAAAATAAATTCCACCAGTACCCGTTCAATGTTCAGTAACAAAATTCTTTGTATAGTATTTGACCCTTCTTGCTCTAGATTCTGAAATAATTTATCTGGCCAACCAGATAACCCTATTTAACTCCAGCAGAAGGGATTTTATGGATATTAGCACAGCCTGCCACGTACATGTGTAAAAACTGCAAATGGAACTGATCCCAGCCGAACATTATTCCTTGCAAATGATTAATTAGTGTTATCTTTGGTGTCAAATCATCTCTTTCCATCTCCCAGGACGTTCTTTTAATTTGTCTCAGGATCTGTCCTCTTTCATTTAATGCAAACAGAAGCCCACTCACTCTGCCAGCTCTGCCCCCACCCGCGCCCCCCCTGCTTGTGCATTTAAGCACCTTTGTTGTTGTTTAGTCGTTTAGTCATGTCCGACTCTTTGTGACCCAATGGACCAGAGCATGCCAGACCCTCCTGTCTTCCACTGCCTCCTGGAGTTTGGTCAAATTCATGTTGGTCGCTTCGATGACACTGTCCAATCATCTCATCCTCTGTCGTCCCCTTCTCCTCTTGCCCTCGCTCTTTCCCAACATCAGGGTCTTTTCCAGGGAGTCTTCTCTTCTCATGAGATGGCCAGAGTATTGGAGCCTCAGCTTCAGGATCTGTCCTTCCAGTGAGCACTCACCGGAAGGACACTGAAAGAAATGTACAAGGTAGGAAAAGCTACCAACCTCCAATTATTTAAGCTTCCTCCATGTGATATATTAGCAGAGTCTGGCGTGTTCTGGTGTCTTAAGAGAGAAGGTGGAATAGGATGATCTGCTGGGCTTTAAAAAGATGTAAGAATAGAGGCTGTCATGAATTAATGAAGAAACATGGACCTTCAAAAACAGTAGGTGTCATTAGGCAGGATCGGTTTCCATCACTTTTAGAAATTTGAATTATAATACATTTAAATTGGAGGAATGCAGCAGTGTAAAATCTATTGAAACAACTGAGATTTGGATGGCTCAAAAGTTTTGGTTCCAACCCCACCATCCCTCTGCTTACGTACTCAGTGCTTTTTGTTCTCTGTAACTGGTCTGGTTCTGGATTTGCTGTTTCCCATCCAAAATCTTTAGAAGATGAAAGGATAAAGGAACGGTTAGTCAAAAATCTAGGATTTTGGTTATATTTAATGTGTGTCTAGCGAAAGGCAAATAACTGTCTTCAGTGATGTGATACTGTTTTTTTTCAGTGCGATACCCCATACAAATATGAAACTAGGGAAAACACTAGCCACCTAGTCTAAGAGTGAAGGTCTGGAGAGATCAACATGGTGGTGGCAGCGGTGGGCTGGCCTGAGAAGGTGCAGCTGAATGGTAGAATATATGCTTTGCGTGCAGAAGGTCCCAGAAAGGAGTGAAACTCTAAAATTCAGGAATCTCATTATCAATCATTTTTTGGCCAGATGGACTCATGGTATATGATCACTTTCTAGGTTCCTGTCCTGTATCCACCTGAGAGTAAATCCTCGTGAAGTCAACTGAAATTATGTTTGAGTAGGCCGTAATATAAGAGGGGGCGACGAGAGATCCATGTAGCCCCCCCCCCCGGCTTTTCACAGACCTGCTCCAGCCAAATCAGAGGGGGTTAATGCTGAATTTAAGTGCTGCAACAGCAAAGTAAAGCATGAGTTTTCACCTTTTTTTTTAAAGAGATGTTATGAGAATGGGGGTCTTGTTGTAGTGTAGAATCACATC